GAAAAATATTATACTAAGGATTAAGCTATAATCCAAGATGATACCTGCAATAAGATATGAGTGACCAATATATACTATCCATAATAATTTTCATCATCATCATTCTTACTACTATCTCTATACATTATGATGATCTTTGTCACATCACATTAAATCGACTACTCCTTTCTCTATCTCAAAATGATCATTACTTTATTGAAAGTAAACATTGTTTCATTAATATTATATCTCCTGTACTTAGAAAACATTCCCTGGATGGCACAAACAGTTGAGTATTCAACTACTAACCAAATGACCAAGAGTTTGGTCGTTCAATCTACCCAGGTATTCCTTGGAATAATGGTCTGGTGATCTACTTCTGAAAGATCACAGTCATTTGAAAGCCTTGTGGGACAATTATTCTCTGATATACATGGGGTCACCAGGAGTCAGGCTCAACTCAGAGTTAATTGGTTTGGCTTTTGGCACTTAGTACAAAATGATCCTGGTGGAGTCCTGGTGCAGCCTTGTGGGATAGGCACTAAATTGCTAGCCACAAGGTTCGTGGTTTAAACCCAGTAGCTGCTCCTTGGAAACCCTATACAGGGTCTCTTTGAGTCAGAACCAACTTGAAGATGCTTAACAACAACAACAAAATGATTACATTGTTTGAAAAATGAAAGAAATATTTTGTGTCATCTCATTCCTGATTCTAACACCTTTGTTTAGAAATAAACATTTGGGTTTCTTCAAGTGATTCTGACTTCTCATATAAAACTGAAAATGTCGAGAAATCACCATAATTTCTCCCCACTACTGGTACTGTGATTTTAGATTTTCAGAAAGAAAAAGATCCCCTACCTCTTCTTTTCTGACCTTCCCTTCACTTCCCTTATTTCTTACCTTAATTCCTTTCCTGGGCACTTGTGTATAGTCATGCTTAATCCTTTTCTTTGCTTCTAAGTAGAGACTGTATCCTCCAGGAACGGAGAATGTTCCTCCTGAAATACTTTCCATCAGAGACTTTGACAGCTGCTTCAGCTCATCTTGACAATATTTCACAGATGCCTCTTCATTCTGCAGCACAAAGTCATCCTTCTTTTTCTCTATGATGCTCTACAGGGAGATGCAGAGAAACACAATGGAGAGAAGCTGTTAGAAGTGATGTTCTAACTGAGGTCCTTTTGGAAGAAGCAGCTGATAGCCTCAGAGGGAAGTCAGGAGACTTATGTTAGACAGCGTCCAAGTTCATCGTATATAAAATGATGGGGGAGAGAATGGTATAAACTCTTTGGTTGCTTTAGTAGTGTAGTATGTTTAATAGTGATCAGAATATTTCAATGAGTGATATAAGAGTGTATTTGGCTAGAAGGAGTGTTTTCTAAGAGACCCTTGTTACTATGGATGAAAATGCAAACTTGTAAAAGCAACCCACATAGTAATGACTTAAATGTACTCTGAGTAGACTTTAGAAAACTTCATGGATTCTCTCAAGAATTGAGTACAAGATATAGGAACAATTTTATTTTTTGCCTGTCCTTATAAATTATAATCAAAATAGGTTTAATCAATGTACATTAATATTTTTGTCATTTGTGGGCCCAAGACGTTCTGAAAGACAAACTTTCAGTGAAGGTGCCTATGATAAGCAGAATAAAGATATCTCCTAAGATGTCCAGTTTCCACATGTTTTATAGTCCTTGAAACCTTGAATAGAACAGATTTTCCTTCCGAATTTGGAGTATGCTTTATGGTATAAGTTACCTTATAGGAAATAAGAGTTAAGAGTTTACAACAGGATATTGTCTAATTACACGAGTCCTTGAAAAACAGAATTTTCCAGGTGTTGACACAAGAAACAGTCAGAGAGATTAGAAACAAGAGAAAGATTTGATGACTCATTGTTGGCATGAAGCTGAAGTGGAGTTTCCTAGAACTTCCTGATGAGAACCAAGCACAGTGGACACATTAATTTAAGTTGGAGAGACTCTGAGCAGAAAACCCACACAATCTAGGTTGAAATTCTGAAATAAAAACTGTGAGGTAATAAGTTTTCGAAAGCTAAGTTAATAGAAATTTGTTGTACAGAAAAATGAAGTGTTCATCTTTTATAAAAGAGATAAACTGTAGCTTTGTAGAGGCCTCTCACTCACTGCGATCCAGGCTAGTCTAGTGCATGAAAGACATGAAAAATTGGGTCAAAAGGTATCATGCTAGGGATGATGCTAGAGCAGGAATCAGAAAGAATACATGCTAACACAAGTACCACGAGTTGTTTGTAGAACTTCTGATTCTCATCCTTGAAGGAGTGCTCCATGAAGACTGTAATTGCTTCCCTCTCACAGGCTGCATGCACATCCAGCAGCTCCTGGAGTGTGTCTGTGGGAAACCTCACACGCTGGGCCATCTGCTGACTATAGTGGTCATCTGCCTTCTGCACAGCTGCCAAGTTCTCACGCTGGGCCAGGGTTGTCACCGCATTCTCCAAACAAGGCACCGCTCCACTGTTGATGGCATCCACATAGGTCTTCACCAGAGTCCCCAAACCTGAACATTTAGAGATAAATATCAATTTCTCACTTTTATTTTAAAATCTTTAGTCATCAATATTCTAAGTGTAATGAAAACTTTTCTTCCTTTTCTTTTCCTTCTTTTATTTTTAAATAAATCTCTTTTCTTGGAATATCACCATATTTTCCTTATTTATTCTTTCTTTATGATTCTTCATTTCATTACTATGTAGTACTGGTTACTGATTACAACCAATATTTTCTCCAGGGCTTCTTAAAAAAAAAAAAAAATCTCATTTAAATAAAAGGAAAAGTGTTCATTAGTTAGGCAAAGTGGTTACAAAATTTATAGGACCAGTTCCAAAAGAAAATATTGGTTACTTGTAAACAAAATAAAACAAAACCAATCAAATCAATTTCAAGTAGAGAACATTGGAACACAGAACTAATCCAAGTAGAAACCTACTTCTGCACAAACTCATAACAACTACAGAAATCATGCACTCATGAAGACAGTACTACACATAGATTATATATAATTTTATTGTCTAAAATCTCAATGGACTTGTTGGGATTCAGGGCCTGTTGTGTACCTTCTGATGTGTAATTTTACAAAGTATACTTTATACCCTGAGAAGTACTTTTTACATTGTCCATAATCCTCAAACTACAGGCATCCTTTCCTTAATATCTGTTTGTGCCTTTATGATAAATGGATTATTTTCTTTAGATATGTTGTTGTTGTTGTTATGTGCCGTGGAGTCGGTTCCGACTCATAGCGACCCTGTACAGGGTTTCCAAGGCAGTAAATCTTTACGGGAGCAGAAAGCCTCATCTTTCTCCCGCAGAACAGCTGGTAGTTTCGAACTGCTGACCCTGAGGCTCACAGCCCGATTGGCGTCAATAAGCCCTCAGGCAGAAAGAAAATCTTTAAGAAATGTTAATTACTATGTGTGACATGTAGGTGTCCTTCTCTACATTCACATGCAAAAGCAAACACAATTATTGAAAAACGCATAGAACAATCACAGCATCACATCATAAACTAATGCACAGAGAAACATGCTTTGTTGCAAAGGTGACTCACGATTTCCATTGACAATGATCCCTTGAGTGAGGGTCTTGGTCTTTGCTTGGCTGTAGATATAGGAACAAAATTTTTCTGCTTGGGCCTGAAAATGAGGATTCAGCTGATCTTCTGAGAGTTCTTCAATATGGGCTAAGAGATTTTTGTCACTTGTAGGACGATCAAAGACAAAGCACTTCAGTTTTGGGAAGAAAAGCCTTATACACTCTCTAGGCAGATTGGAATTTTGGATTTTGCGATTTCGGCCTGCAGGAATAGAAAGAGAGAAAGCTCTGGAGGAACAGCATTCAGGAAAGAGGTCTGTCAACTTTTATTTCCAGGGATCTTTGCTTTACCAAACTTTTGACCTTTAAATCTCCTTATCCAATCCTGTAAATTAACCTTGAGCCAATTTGCTCAAAGCCAAAAAAAATCCATTTATTGACAGAGCACAGATCAAGGAAAGTAGTTCTGGAGAATTCTGAATAGAGCCATCCAACCCAAGTGAACAAACTTATGTTAGTTTTTCTCAGTCTATATATGAAGTTAAGGAGCTCTGGTAGCGTAGTGGTTACGAATCGGGCTGTTGAACCGCAAAGTCAGCAGTTCGAAACTACCAGAGGTTCCACAGGAGAAAGAGGAAGCTTTCTGCTCCCATAAAGATTTACAGCCTCGGAAACCCTGTGTAGGGTCGCTATGAGTCGGAACCGACTCCACGGCACATAACAACAATATATGAAGTTGAGTTGAGTATTTATACATTGTTTGTTGAAAGATTGAAATATAAAAACAAATGGTTAGAAGTTCTTTTCAAATCTTACTGCCCTAATATCAGAAATAAAATAAAATATGATAGATAATCTATTACTAGAAAATATCATGAGAAGAGATGATACCCAGGTCAGTAAGGAAAAAAAAAAAAAAAAATTAAAACCCAAAATACTCACAGCGCATATAATTTAAGGATTTTTTTTAAAATAATTTTTAGCAGAGAGCTCTGCTGAGCAATGTTAACCTAAATGTAGTTAGGGAACTCACCATTTCTCTACATCACATTGTATGGAATTTGAAGTTGTCTTGCAAATGCTATCAGTTAGCCACCATTCTAAATAGAATCCATAATAAAAAGTTCTTAACAGTAAAATTAGAATCCTAGTGTCACATTGTGGGATAAAGCACTGAACCTCAAGGTCAGTTTGAACCACAAGGCCGGTGGTTCAATCTCAGCAGTCGCTCCTTGGAAACCCAATACAGGGTCTTTATGAGTCTGAACTGACTTCATGGCACTGAACAACAACAACATTAAAATTACCACTTATTATATAAGAATGTAGAATAACATGTATGATTTTATGAAAACACAAAGGATTTGATAATATTTCTGAAAGTGTCTCTTAATGTTTAATTATGAATGCTTTAGTATACAGCAAAATCTACAATGGCCAGAAATTTTATAAAGCAAAATCCTGTCAGAGAATGAAAACTCAAATATTCTTCACTAAAATAAGTAATACAAAAGTAGTAAGGGTGCTTACATCCTGTTAAAAGTGGAAAATTTGCAAGATGCAGAAAAACATGGCAGAACTATGTAATTTAGGATCCCATAGGTTTAACTGTATACATATCCTTTCTCTGAGGGATGTAACTATGCAGGATAGTAAAATTTGTTGTTGTTTTTTATTGCCATCGAGTTGATTTAAACACATAGCAATTCTGTGACAGAGTAGAACTGTCCCATGAGTCACCAGAGTTCATTAGTAAAACACAGCGAATGAAATGTATATTTTAAATTAAATCATCCAAGTACATTATGACTCTGTTTGAACACCTTCCAATTTCATGAACACCTTTTCTTAAAAAAAAAAAAAAACAAACCAAAAAACAAAAACCAGGAGGCACTTCAGAAGAAACACAGTATGTAGACTTTAAGAAGCCGTATCACTATTATAATCTTAAATTTTTTTCCATGGTAGCAATTGCATTGGAGTCCTGGTATGGCACTATAGTGTAAGCACTGGACCGCATGGTTGGTTTGAACTGCAAGGTCAGTGGTTGAAATCCACCAGCCACTCCTTGGAAACCCTATGTAATGTAGCTTTGAGTCAGAACTGACTTGGGGACACCAAAACAACAACAACAACAACAATTGCATTGCAATCATTTAATCCAATCAATTGTTGTTGTTGTTATGTGCCGTGGAGTCAGTTCCAACTCATAGTGACCCTGTACAGGGTTTCCGAGGCTGTAAATCTTTATGGGAGCAGAAAGCTCACCTTTCTCCCATGGAACAGCTGGTAGTTTCAAACTGCTGACCTTTCAATCCAATCAATATTGGATCCTAAATTTCATCAGATACTTAAATTCTATCAACTGGATAATTTCTGGTAGTAATTACCCACAAGAATCATACCTTTCTCTAAATCATTACTTTCTTGGACTTTAATCCAGCCTCAAATATATATTGACCTCACCTTCTGGATGACATGGTTCACTCCTACTAACCCATCCACAACCTAGGCCATGTATTGATACCTGGAATCAACTTCAAGGCATTCTCCAAATATTCATCCTCAGTGATAGTGCGTTCATCTAGCTTCAAATCCAGGGTAAAATCTCGAACGATCCAAACAAAGTCTGGAAAAAAACTCACAAACTCGGTGGAGTCCTCTGTTTCATCAGATCTGGAGGAGGATTTTGCCCTGATTAGTTCTGATAGCTCAGTTACAAATCTGGGAAGGTGGCTAAGGAAGAATAAGCATTCTATACCATAGTGCTGAAAATTGACTTAAAAGTACGTTTTATAAGCATTCTATTTTGCCCATAGTTCCCTACTCCTGCTGCATCAGACTTTGCCAGAAGAAAAAGACAAGAAATAGTATCAGTTTCCATTCCTGTAAGCTCAGAAGGCATGGTGGTTGGGTTCCTGGAAGGATACTGCAGCTGCTCCAGGGCCTGGTGGTTGATGGTGGACATGCTGTTGTAGACAAAGGTGCTGCTCAGAAGTACAGCCAGGGCAAAGATCCATGAGTCATTCTTAGGGTCACCCTAGAAAGTGCATTAGACAAAGAGACTTATTACTCATTTGTATTGCGTACTCACCATCTAGTTATACATTAGCTGAAATTTTGAAAACAATGTAAAATACTAATTTCTTAATTTGTATTTACTTGTCCCCTTTCAAGGATTTAGGTTCTTTAGTTTATAAACTTAGTGAGTAAGAGTGTCAACATATTAAAATATTGTATAGTTTAGTACATAGTAGGTGCTTAATAAAAGAAAGGAAATTATACCTATACCACCTTTTTCTATTGACAGTTATATTAAGGATACGAATAACCAAACCCAAACCACTGCTGTGAAGTCAGTTCCAATTGATAGTGACCCTATATTGCAGAGTATAGCTGCCCCATAGGGTTTCCAAGGAAGTTATTTTTATGAAACAGACTGCCACATCTCTCTTCTATGGAGGGACTAGTGTGTTTCAGCTATTGACATTTTGCTTAGTACTTGTACAGTTGACCACTGTATCACCAGGGATCCTTATGACACAAATACCATTTTACTAAATTAAACAACTATTCATTGTTGTTGTTGTTGTTAAGTGCCATTGAGTCCATTCTGACCCATAAGACCTTGCATTGGGTTTCCAAGGAGCAGCTGGTGAGCTTGAACCACTGACTTTGCAGTTCAAACAACTTTGCAGTCTGACTCATTAGCCCACAGTGCCACACCAGAACTCATTGGGCATCCACAAATACTAAGCATTGAATTTGGTTACATGAATACAAACTTCCATGTGGTGTTACCTAACCTCAGGAAGATGACTTTTTCAGAGGCTGATAAATACGTAAATATAAATACAACCAAGATTATAATCACTGCCAGCAGTGGCCAAATAGGTATAATGTAAAAGAAAAAGTGGTCAGTGCAATATAAAGGAAAAAGTAGTTTGAGGATTCAGAGGAAGAAGTGTACTATGCGTGGCTGGACCAGGATACTAGCAGTTGTCAAAGAATTGATAGGTGTCAAAACCTAAACAAATGAAGTCAGTAATGTTAGAAAGTATGGATATTGGTATTGTAGCGTTATTCCATTTGACTGAAGAAGAGGTTAGGTGTGCAGGAGTGGAAGTTGAGGTTGGAAATGACATTTAAAGTCAAGTCTCCCCATATTTGTTGATGCTTTTGTCAGTAATAAAACAAAATATCTACTGCTGCTACTTTCAATTTAGACTAATAGTAATGATAATTGTTTCTGTTGCTGTTAAGTACTTTTGAGTCACTTCTGACTCATAGCGACTCTATATAGGATTTCTGAAGAGTGGTTAATGGTCTTGAACCACTGACCTTATGGTTCAAACAGACCTTGCAGCCCAGTGTATTAACCTGCAGGGTCATGACATGAGACATGAAATAAGTGGAATGATTCACTGTAGGATAAGTACTGGGCTGCTAACCACAAGGTCAGTGAGTGGTTCAAACCTACCACCTGCTGCTTGGAAATCAGGGTTTCTGTGCTTCATAAATGACTTAAAAGCACTTAACAAACAATAACAATATTATAAACACAAACTATCTAAAATGATACCGTTAATTAAATTTTCAGTGGGTCAAGATCATGGTTTCATAGAGAAGTTAGTGAAGAATTAATCTGCAAAGCTCATAGACTAGCACCAAAACTTTTGTGAATATTCTTAGGTTTGTTGAAACTTTTCTGACAGTTACATACTTGTAACTCCAACATGTTCACAATCTTAGGATAGCTCCTTTTGAGCCATGGAAGAAAGGTGAGACTATCAGCTTGTGTTAAGATTTACAGCATCTGAAACCTTATACATGGTTGCTATCAGTCAGAACCAACATGTTGTCACAACAAACACAAATGATCTTATGGATCATAACTTCCTCTAATCTATAGGTCTGGGATAGGTGCCTCATTTCTGCATATCCATGACAATTGATACTGTTCATACTTTGCTTCTGTTGAGCCCCCAGTTTAACTCTGAGTTTTTGATGTGTTCACTTTGTACCAGTAACAATAGGCTCTGAGCACTGAAATTCAGCAACTCAGAAAATAGGAATATTTGTATTCATTCCAGTATTAAACAGAGGAAGATTTCTTCTTAACATACCAACAACATTTGAAATTACAGAGAAAGTTTAAGTACCATTAAACAAATTTAAGCTAATTATCCCTAGCTATAAGTTGTTGCTGTTAAATGTCACTGAGTCACGCTCTGACGAATAGTGACCTAGTATAGGGTTTTCACTTAAAACCAAATGTTTGGTTTCCACTTAAAACCAAATGGCCACCACTCATCTGTCAGTTTGTCATACTGTGGTGGCTTGTGAGTTGCTGTGATTGTGAAAGCTATGCCACTAGTATTTTAAATACCAGCAGGGTCACCCATGGTGGACAGGTTTCAGATGAGCTTCCAGACAAAGACAGATTAGGAAGAAGGAGTGACGAACTACCTCCGAATATTTAGTCACTGAAAACCTTATGAGTAGCAGAGAAACACTGTCAGATATAGTGCCAGATAATGAGTCCCTCAGATTGGAAGGCACTCAAAATGCGACTGGGGAAGAGCTGCCTCCTCAGAGTAGAGTTGAACGTGATAATGCGAATGGAGTAAACCACGTGGAAGAAAAGCCCACGGGACCTTCACTTGCTGGTGGGGCCTGACTCAAAATGAAGAGAAACAGCTGTAAACGTTAATTGAA